AATGGATAAAAAAGTTGTGGTATTTTTATACAATGGAGTATTACTCAGCTGTTAAAAAAGATAAACTTGAGGCTTTTGTAGGTTAATGGATGCAACTAGAGACCATACTCATAAGTGAAATAAATTGGACCCAGATGCATAAGCATCATATTGCCTCCTTGGTGCAGGACCCTGACAGACTAGGTAAAACTCAAAACGTACACTAGATGATAGGAAAGGGAAAGAAATTGCGCAAAGGAAGGAACGACTGGGATGAGGGAAAGAAGAAAAAAGAAAGAAGGAACACAAAAAATAAATATATATATGAATACCTGCGATATCTGTATTGCTGATATTTGATGATGTACTGAAATGAACAGTTAATGCTCACAATTTTTTATGTTCTGATCGACTTTGCATGCTTGTGTCTGGTGGTCTGAGCAACTGATTTGAAGGTAACAATATGCACTGGAATTACAATGGTGAACTCCTACTATCTTGTCTACTGATACTCCGTATTATCTCTAATATTTTATTGAAGAATTATTTTCTTATTCTCTTTAATTGTTTGAGCAATCTCTCATTCTTACATCAGGTAATCTGAGCAATGTAGTTGAGGATAGCGATATGTAGTGTAACAACCACTCTTGATTCACATTATTTTGTCTTTAGACCCTGTATCTCTTTGAATGTTCTTGCTCTGATTTGTTTATGTTCATGATACTGGTATGCTGCTACTGTTCTGTTTCTTTTGTTTGTTTCTCATTTACCACTCTCTTTAAAATACAAAACAAACAAACAAACAAACAAAAAAACAACCCAAAGAAGTGGTAGCTTAGAAACTGGACACAGTGGCACATGCCTGTGATCCCCAGACTTGGGAGGCTGAGGCAGGACTGCCATGAGGTGAAGAACAGCCTGGCTACATAGTGACACTCTGACTTAAAAGAAAAGAAAAAGGAAAGTTGAGGCACGGTGGTATGTGCCTTTAATCGTAGCACTCTGGAAGGCTGAAGCAGGAGGATCATAAGTTTAAGCATACCCTGGGAAATTTAGTGAGGCAGCAAGGCCCTCTCTTAAAAAAAAGACTAAGGATATTGCTCAGTGTAAAGGCCCTGTGATCAATCTTCAGTACAACAGAAAGGAAGAAAGGAGGAAAGGAAGAAAGGAAGGAAG